GGGAGAGGAGCGTCGCTCCTTCACCCTGACGTTCCTCGTTCCTTCCCTGGGGAGGAGGGGGGGAGCGGCGATTTATGTTTTCGCATCCACCTGAATAATGTGCAGTTGCGCCACTGGTTGTAGGTTAGATTCCAGCTTCCTCCTGCCATGTGTCAATGTGCCCTTTGGCAAGGCACTTAACCCCAAATTGCCTACCGAGCTGCTTATCGGTGAATAAATGTGTGAGCTTTTGTGAGTGCGAACGGGTGAATGTGACTCTAGTGTAAAGTGCTTTGAGTGGTCAAAAATGTTCGGATAAAGCGCTATATAAGTTCAGTCCATTTACCATTAGACTGCAATAACATAATTTATTATGGTATCATTAACAGACAAAATACAAATTAAGGCTATTAACATGAATATTATTACCACTAGAAGTGATATTCATGATTACAGCTGCACAAGCAAGAGATAAGTGTGAGATGTCTCAAAATCCCTAAAAGCCCAAGGAGGTGAGGTAGTGGTCAGGTGTTATTTCACTTTAACAAAGCATTTTTCCCATGTTATAAGTCAAATAATCTGCCAATGGAACAGGCACTTTTTTATATCAATATTAAGGAATTATGGACTTAAAACAAGTTCATATTTCTTGTTTAAAAGTTACATACAGCTAATTTTGTCTTATTTCAAGTGTAAACTCATTGACCGTTACAAATTACAAATAAGATGACAGTGACAAATTAAAGTAATGAAGCTTCAAAGGAGTGGGTAAAAGTATAAACTTATTTTAAACCCATCTGTTTTAAATTTTCAGATTTTCTATTTCCATGCTTTGTTGGCCACTGTTAACAGTGGATTAGGCAAACCTTATCACGCATACATGATGGCAAAGTAAACCTACAGGTGTGATGTGCAGCTCTGCGGCCAAGCGGATACATGCAATTAGCACTACACAAAAAAAAAAAAAAATTAGTATTAAGGTGTCTTTGCTATATATTTTATATCTACAATCAGTTTTACATACAACCATTTTACATAGTCTTGACTACTGTGGTAAATGTGAAATAATGAAACTCAGATTTCAGGGATGAACTTACTGTGTGTGGGCAACCCGAGAGAGGCTGCTGATGTTAATTTAGGCAGATCTAATTTGAAATAGCCATTTTCTTTAGTATCATTGCACACTAACACAGGAAGTGATCCTGCAGCGAAGAAAAAAAACATAAATTCTTAATAAGATGTTTTCTATTTAATCTATGTAGAAATAGTCATTACTAGTAACAGTTGAATTGTAGCTATCTGAAATAAGTTTCTCCATGTAAGAATTCAATGTAATTTATCTACAATGGTTATTCCAGATAATGTATGTGTATACACACAATACATGTGTATTGTATACACAATGTAATGTCATTTGTTCTAAGGAGAATTACTTTAAGAAAGTTGTAAAATAATCATATTACAGATAACTTTTTTTTTACTGGGAATAACTGATGAGATATCTGGAATACAAATCCAGTCTATTAAATGATGAAACGGCTTGCCACAACAGGCTTACATACTTCAGAGAAACACAGGTATAGGCGATTTCAGGGGCCACCCCTGAAATCTGATTGGCCACTCCTTTAACCGCCCTGGATCTGATAGGTTCTCAGGTCCATTTTGTTATGCTGACGAGGACAACACACCAATCAAAGATGAGGCTCGCTTCAGTTGGATCAGGTATTGTTTACAAGTAGCCAGAGAGATAGTGAATAAGAAAACTGACTTCTGGTCAGTTATACGTCTGTTTTGGGCATTATAGTCTGAAACACAGTGCGTGGCGCATCCCGGTTTTAACAGTTATCTGGTGATTGATTGGTTAATAGATTTATTAGTTGTACCTCTTCCCCATCAATGTTTGAAAATGTTATCCACTTCACCCAGTGAATGTTATCTACTTGGCCCACGTAACCAACTAGCCTGCTGGAAATGTACCATGCATACAATTCTTTGTTCCTTTATTCCTGTACAGCCTAGTTGGAGCTCAGACCTAAATATTAGACATTCCCATTTGCTGATTTAATCCTACAGCAGCTACAATGCAAAATCACATAGACTTATAGCTGTAACTGAAAAATACGGACATTTTTCTGATTTGTTTTTGTAAGACATTTTTAAACCATATACTTTCCTTTCCCGTCAGCATGAATCCACCGGTCTGTAGCATTCAGTCTTGTTCACATCTCTGTCAGCTAGTGTTTCTACTTTAAATGAAAAACTGCAAAAAAAAAAAAATATTTCTTGATTCACCATTTATTAAATCCACATTTTTTTTTAAACATACAGACATGTTTAGTCAGTCATTTTGGAATCTAGCTGAAGCTCAGTCTAAAGACAGTCGAGACATACCGAATTAAACAGGACCATGGGTCGTTACATAAACGGTGGAACAAAAGTTATTGTTGAAATGGGACAGCGGACATTATGGTTACATGAAATTCAAGAGGGAAACCTC